CGATTTTAATCCAATGGATGTGCTTGAAGGTATTCTTACTTGGTCTCAAGCTGAAAAATATCGGTAAGCTGTTCAGTCATCTCATTTAGTTTATTTAACACATTTTTGTGAACTGCATGGGTTAATCAGCATCAAATATGAAAATGATCTAAGTGATAACAGGAGGAATTAATCTTAGGCTGTTTTAAGATAAGGTACTATCCCAAAATTTGCACAGAGGGGCTAAAGGCACCAAGAAAATCTCAGTAAGGATAAACTGCCTTTAATCAAAAAATTAAATCCAAGCACTCCTAAATACAAAGCAGGAATGCTAATCACTAATTACCATCATCTCTGTTATGATTATCAGAAAACATAAACTAGTTAACAAACCAGAATGAATGAAACATTGATGTGAATATTTTGTAATTCTTCCCATTTCTGAAACAAACAATAAAATGCCATATTTTCAGCCTGCTTTCATATTTTGTAAGGAAACACTGACTTGTGGTACCATTATTTTCATTTATATATGTTTCCCCTGGATTGCTTCAGACTTTCTCTGAACACTACATGACTCAGCAAGCAAGTATGCAAGAATATATTACACTGTATAACAATTCATACTGTTACCTGAAGAAGATAAGGAGATTAACGCTTCTAAGAAACTGATACCATGGTCAGGGTGTTTTTTGAAGAGTTTATAGTTGCTCAGCTGGTCAAGAGAATTCTCACTTTTCTTGGAACCCTAACATTCATTACAGCAGTCACAAAAGCCTACCACTGAACCCTGTCCATAGACTCACTCCATATTTGAGCTTCAGTTTTTTCCACCTTCTGTTACTTCTACGGGCTGGATGACCAAGGAGTAGGGAGTAGGATCAAGAACTTTCTCTTCTTCATGTTGCCCAGACCGGCTCTGAGGTTCCATCAAGCCTCCTATCCAATGGGTACCAGGGGCCTGGGCTTGAAGCTGACCATTCACCTTCACCTAGTGCCAAGGTCAAGAAAACCATAGATCTATATATCCACTCCCCCGCACACCTTCATGGTGTAGTGCTTAATTAGTTAAGCACAGGGACAACTGTACTTAATGTTACTTCTTCTCTCATAGGTTCAAATGTAATCTTCAGTGATTAGTTATCAGAGGTCCACAGTTATTAACTATTTGCTGTTTTATAATTTCAGAAATGGAGCAGTTCTGGCAGAGCAGACATCATTTCTGGCTGATCATAATGACAAGAGCAGTGGCACTGATGATATCAAACTGGAATCAAGTTTTAGCTTGAGGAGGCAAAGGTAATAAAATAAATTATAAGTTGTTCTAAAAGCTAAAACAGAAGTCATTAATATTGTAGCATGTAGACACATATGTAATCATGATGACCAATACAAAGAACAACTATCTAATAGAATTATAGTAAATCCAAGGATTGTTTCTTTTCCAAAATATTCCTTGATTGTCCTCTGATACTAGAGTGCTTACTATAAGTGTGGTCCTCCCTTCGCTTATGTCAAATTATTGCATTATAATGCTAGAATTGCAGAGCCCGTAGATAAAGTTTTCATTTAGCAACTGCCGCTGTAGAGGAGGCCTATCCAATGTGTAGCTTGTGGGTATAACTGTATATATATTTTGTGGTACACCTGTCAAACACAACGATCAATAAAAGTAACTTGCTTTCACTCCATTATGTCAACTGAGTTTTTATTGGATTAGAGTATAATGTCGCAAAGCGGCCTCCGTAGTCTAGAGGTAACGTTCCCACCTCATGACTCGTGGTACGCGGGTTCAAATACCCGGTGGAGGTCGTCGAATTTTTAAGGGCGGAAATTTTCAGGGAACAAGTCCTCTGGGAGGGACTTTAAGCCATGTGTCCCGTGTTGTAACTTTACGGCACGTAAAAGAACCTCATATCTCCAAAGGAGATAACTGAGCCAAATTTCAGGACGTTTCCCGCCCAACAATAGTCTCTAAGGCCTCTGATAGATGGGAGAAGCATTATAGACACCGCTAAGCAAGTGGCCGAACTCGCTTGCTCGGCAGGACTGATGGAACGCACCATTATTGGTAGGGTATAGAGACTGGTAGAATATCATAGAGGGAAGCACAATGGACCAATACTGGTTTAAGTGCATGGGGAAACCCACCCTCTCCAATAACTAACTAACTAATGTCGCAACATGTTTCAGCTCTCATGGAGCCATAATCAGGTGATCCAATTTACAAATCTTAAATTACTGAATTGTGATTGTTATATGGATCCGTATATTTCAAGTATTTGGTGTGTTTATAAAATAAAATAGAAAGAAAATAAAACATTCCATAATCCTCTCTTATGCACAGATTTATAGTTATGTTTCTGTTATTAATGTTTGATAACATATTTAAAAAATATATTTTAAATGCCTTATTTTACATGTGAGGGTTTGTTCCCTAAGTCAGTTAAATAAAACTATGCTTAAAGCACAAATACCGTTATGCCATCTATGTCATGTTTGGACTTTGGTTGTCATTGTGTTTACTGTTTAGAGTTGGTAGAAATGCTGCTGTCTTGATTCTAATATTTGTATACTACCACAGTCAATAAGTTTGTGGAATGGCCGCAAAGCATTGTACAGGAATTTACTGCCAATATGTTTAAGCAATGTTTTTGACAGCTATATCAACGTTGGCAGACTTGCATAGCGGCCAACGGCAACTATTTTGAGGGCTGATGTGGATCTGCGTAAGTGTATGTGAACACCTTGTAATATGATGTGATAAAACCACATTCCACGAACTTAATGACTCTACCATGTATATATCCCTCTCCAAATTACTCAAAATGTTTTTTGCAATATATTGACTTTGTATGTGCTGTTGGTGTGCCACACTCCCAAGCTTGTTTATGCTGTCTTCTTGGTGCAGCCAAGGTGTTTTGTATTCCATCATGCTATTTTATCTTTTTATGTTTCGTTTGTTCTTAAGCTCGCATTCCACAGTCTCATTCTGGTAGTTCAGAGGGATCCTTAGCCATTATTCCTGTTTAATGACACCATGTCCATTTTTGTTGTTTACTAAGTCATATAATGTTGCCTGTCCTAGATACATAAATACAGAGCTGCAAGATCTCACTTGATCAGCTTTTTATATATACAATGATGTATTTTAGTGTCCTGTTGCACTGATTTGTATCCATAATGTGTATATATTTACTGTCTTTTAGTGCATACAATTTCACTTGTCACTTCACACTACATGTTTCGGCATCATTCTGCCATCCTCAGGTGTATCAATCACATTAAACCATTCCACTGCTTGCCATCAAGTGTCCATTTATAAAATGATATAAAATGTGTGTTCATCGTTGTTCAATAATAAAATTTATATATTAAAACTTGTTAAGATCTATCATCATCTATATATACAAGGTTAATTGTAGAAATGTTTCAGGTGAAGAACATCATTACAATTATTGTGTTTCTGGACATTATCCGTCAACCTTTTTTTATTTAAAACACACATTTCAGAGACTGGATTCTGTCTCTGTCTTCAGGTGGATCCTGCTCGGTAGGGCCCATTCAATATAGTGAGTCCCTGTCCCTAGAGATAGAGATAGGGACAGTGGATAATGTCCAGAAACAATAATTGCATTAATATACTGTCATCACAAACTTTTAGATCTTAAGAATTTCATTATTTTTACTCTTTACCAAATATTATTAATCAGACTAAGGAGAGTAACATGGACAGGATATGTATGAAGGGGGGCATGGAGACGTGGGAAGTGTGGTCAAAATTTTAGTCTGAAACCTTGATGAGAAGAGACTACTTGAGAGACCTATGCAGGGCATAGATGGGAAGATAATATTAAAATGGACCATGAATAGATATTGTGTGAGGGCATGCACCAGATTTATCTGGCTCAGGATATGATTCAGTAATGGATTTTCATGAACAAAGTAATTTAACTTTTTGGTTACATAAGAGGTGTGGAATATCTTCAACGCTTCTCAAAAAGGACCATGGGCTACAGACTTGGTTTCTTATTTTTGTATGCTATATAGGAGGCATGTGGTAATGTAGTTGGTTGAGGCACTATGCTACAAGCCAGAAGGTTGCTGGTTGAATTCCCAATGTAATTGGATTTTTCAATTCACCTAATCCTTCCAGCCACACTGTGGCACTGGGGTCGACTCAGCCTCTAATAGAAATGAGTACTAGGAATATTCCTGGGGGTAAAGGGAGGCCGGCGCATAAGGCTGACAGCCTCACTGCCATCAGTGAGCCGATTGTCTAGAAAATGTGGGAACCTCAACATTTCACAACCCTATGGGCTTCCATGCCCTGTTACAGGGATACCTTTACCTCTTATACAGTACTTACATTTGACTTTTATTAATGGGAGAAGGGTGATGTATCTGTTTAATATTTTTTAATCTGAAAAGTTTCCATAGTCAAGAAAGGTTGGCAATCACTAGGGTAATGACTTGTAAGAAGAGAAAGAATTTTGATATATCCCTTGATAATAATTTCATATGAAGTTGAATTAAATTTTAAAACTGACATCTACTTCAGAAAGTACTCATGGGGAGAGCAAAAGGATATCGTGGAGTGTGTGGTGAGACATGGAGCTTATGGTCTGTTAAGGGGTACTGCTTTCTGGAAGATGATGGAAGAAAAAATGGTAAAGTACATTTAATAAAAATTAAACTTAAAGTTACTTGTATCTTGGTTCTATGGTCCTCTAAGAATCTTGGTCTCCTTTATGAGAGATGTCTATTTGCCTATTAATTGCCTTTTTGCCTCCTCCTCTTCACTTTCAGCTGCTGTAAATCCTTCCATATGCCATATTTATCTAACCATAAGATGTCCACACTTCAAGGTAAATATATTATATTTATGTATGGTTTATTTAACAGTGCTCTCAGTTTGATTGTGATAAATTATAAGGACAAATGATTTTATTACTTGTGCAAATAAAATTCTTACTTACAGCTGTCTCTTTATAATGGCCTGTTTAGATCTACACAGTGCATTTCTGATAAATCTTGCAGCTAGTTATTGTTCTTTGACTTTCCTCCATCATTGCACATTGACCCCAGGTATACCACATTTCCTGGATGCTGTACAGTTATTCTCTTCAACATATCTGATAACCAGTAATTTACAATTGGTGTAATTTATGTATTTATTTCGTCTCTATAGATCATTGTTACATGATATAGGACAAGTCAGTTACTGTACATTGGCTGATTACAATAAAAGAATAAAGTTACAATACTTAAAATTGTTTACAATAGTTAAGATTTCATATAGTGTGAGGTGGAATCCATATTAGGTCCCCTCGGCACGTCAGCTTCCATATGTCCTATTGTACCTGTACTGGTGATAATGCTTATGGAGAATTTGATGGAATGAGGATACACAGGATAATACAGGATAATGAGGATAATACACAGTTTATGTGAATATGGGAATCTGTGCATTAAAGGTCTCTTGATATCACATGATCCTGTGTACTTACATCACATGATTTATTATATTTTAGTTTAACAGGTTCCATTGCTATGAAAAAATCAGCTTAAAATAAATTATGTCTATACACAAGTATTCAGTGTTGACACTAGTACTATATGCTGTTCCTCAAATCACTTAACACCCAGAAAGCAAGCAGTATCTGGAAACTGTGGCATATGTCAGAACTCATGTATCTATAGGGTATTAATATGATATCTGCTTCACGCATGAATTGCTTTAGCTGAATGGTATCAGGGACATCTGATAATATTGATTCACATCCAGCAGACTGCTCCAGAAATATAGAACTACCTAACCATGTGTGAGCATGGCAGTAAAGGTAAGAAACATGTAATATATTAGCTTCTGAAATACAAATATCATCTCACTATTATATTCTATACATACACGAGTTTCAAGATACTGCTGCAAATTCAAATATCTTTTTTGCCCAGAAATAACTGAGTCACATATATTTTTATGCATGTTTCTTCATTTGCAGTGCACTTTGTAGTCAGGTAAATGCAGGTTAAATGCTCTGTAGTTTGTCATTCTCTATTATATGTAGGTCTTTGCTGTAGAGGTGCATAATGCAGAAGTTTTACATGTAGTTTTGATAAGACCTGTTCAGCCACTTTTGAAATTACCGTAAAGAAGAACATACTGTAGATCTCAACATACTTCTAAACTTTATTTAAAGATATCTTTTTCTTATATCTTTATCTCAAACTGTCCCTCCAAATTAAGGTGAAGCACTGTTTGGAACACTGAACATGGTTTAGTATGTTTGTGTGGATTATATTACGTTCCAGTGATGGACTTTGGTTGTAGGGATGAATCTGTGGATCTTATTATGCCAGGGTATGAGTGAAACCAGTAAAATTCACAGTATTTCAAGTGGATTATGAGGTATCTGGTGCAGCTTTCATGTTATTCTGTATTTGCAGACATGCACCTGCACCAGTAACACTCCTCTCTCTAGTAGAAGTACCTGTCTTAGATTCCTGACCATTCCAGAAACCAATCATATACATAACAAGCTTTTAAAAAAATGTTAGTTGTAACAATTAACTACTTTATTTTGAGGACTGAATCTCATACACAGCCTTGATATTTCATGAAACGTATATGAAATCTCCAGGTGTGCAACAAAAGGACGTGGCAATCCATGAAGGAGCAGTTCTTCAAGAAGATCCTGCCAGACATCGAATCATTCAACCTTTCTGAATCTCAGATCAGCAGGTTCAAAAATCTGTAAGGATTGCCATGTTTAGTTATTTTGCATTCATTTGTATATGGTGGTGTGTTCTTAATTCATTGTGGTTCTAGTAACTTGTTTGTACTGATTTATTCTTATGAAACTACAGAACATAAGGTATATTTTCATTATTTTTATATACACTACTTGGATAATTTGAAATTCCTTGCCATTTTATATGATTCAAATGCTGTCCTTCCTACGTTTCAGAATTTAAGAAAGTTTGAATTTCTTTACATGTAAATTGTTTAAGATATTGGTAAAAGTAAAAGTAAAGCTATCCCTGTAACACGTCGTGAAGGCCTATAGGGTTGTGAGATGTTGAGGGTCCCACATTATCTAGACAGTCAGCTTAAAGATGGCGGTAAGGTTGTCAGCCTTACACACCGATCATGCTTTAGTCCCCAGGAAAATTATTTAATTATTCCTGGTACTCATTTCTGTTAGAGGCTGAGTCGATCCCAGGGCCACAGTGCGACCGGAAGGATTAGGTCAATTGAAAAAATCCAATGACCTCACCGGGACTTGAACCTGCAACCTTCTGGCTTGTAGCATAGTGCGTCAACCAACTACGCTATCGCGTGAAATAAATGTAACATATATATGTGTGTGTGTGTGTGTGACCAGTGATAACAGAATTACTTCCATAACAGTTAATAAAATTTAATCTATTTTAGTGTTGGTATACTGTGTCTAATATTACAAGGAATTAAAATTTATGAAAGAAATCGATTTTGATCAGCAAAATTCTTTATTATACCATGAAGGGAAAACTAAAGAAATACAAAAATTCTTCTATCCTCAGTGATCAGTCAGTGTTTTCCTTGTATGTTATTTATTTACGAGTACATTGGAAGTTAAAGGTTTTAAGAAATATGCAGAATCTAAACTCTGTACATGTATCTGGAATATTCTTGGGGGTAAAGGGCGGCCAGCGTGTAGGGCTGACAACGTTGCCGCCATCTATGAGCCAATTGTCTAGAAAATGTGGGAACCTCAACATCTCACAACCCTATGGGCCTCCATGGCCTGTTACAAGGATACCTTTACTTTTTTACTTTACATGTATCTGGAATCTAGTACCTTCGTCATTTATTTAGTTAGTTCTTAAAAATCCCATCGTTTCACAGATCTCAAGCATGAAGTGAGTAGAGTAATTTTTTACTCTATCTTCTTAGAAGCCAAGTTGTACTTCTTTACAAATACCATATTGTCACACATTCAAGTAACTATAGACAAGTTTTGGATTCATAACCAGATTTATTGAACACTCATACAGCTCTAGACTACTCTTCACAAATCACTATTACACACAGACTAGTGTCCTCGATCACGTTGCTTGGCAGTGGCTTCCAACGGCAGATGTTCCTCTGCTTCTGGGATCATGTCCTTGCAGGGTGGTGACCATCTCATGCCAACCTCATATTCTGACTGCTGGCTTCAGCTGCTGCTTAACACAAAATTGACTCCTTATGTAGCATTGGCATAGACCACATAGAAAATACTGCCTCCGGCAGGTCCTCCATTGTGTACATTGCTTGGAAATGGCTCTGATACTGCTTCATATTTATGAAGCTGTTGCCTCGCAATGGCTGTTTCTCCAGTACGTAATACTAGCTCTCAGGCCTCATGCCACATATTTTAAAACTACCTTGTGTGTCTTTCCTTACCTTAATGTATGTACTTTTGCACACATGATTATGCATTACCTGTTCATCAACAGCTATTGAACTCCATAGAGAATGCTCTCCTATGAATGGAAGTTGTTGAGTGTAATTAATTTATAAGTGTAAGCAGTCAAACTTATTTTATTTTATTTGTAATCATTATTATTAAATCCCTTACTGTGTAACCATTAAAATTATAGGCTATGTATGCTGTTTCTGCTATTCCAAATTTCTTCATTGAATCCAAAAATAAATTTGTTTGAAAATATCCACAGTAAATTTACTGTGTATCTGAAGCCCGGGTCTGGTCTTGTGGCAATTGTGGTGGACAAAGTGGCGCTGGGGCAGGTTTTCTGCAAGTACTTTGGTTTCCCCTGCCAATCTTCATTCCACCAATTGCTCCACAGTTACCATCATCTGTCATATGGGGCTGGTACAATAGGCCAGTAGTGGCCGCAGTACAGAGTAGACTCAGTCTCAGCCCAACAATAACAACAACAACAACAACAACAACAACAATAATAATAACTCATTGAAACTGTTTTGTGTGAGTGTATATGAAAACATTTTCTGTAGAAACAGTAGTAATGTTAATATATTATTATAATATTAAATAATAAATAATAATAATAAAAATTAATAATACAAGGCTTTGTTGAAATGTACACTGACTACCAGAAAGAAGTCTCAAGAGAGGAAATAAAACTCCCATTCAGTAGACATATATACCAGCAAACTGAAACCAAATAAAAGCCAAAATTGTATTAAATGATAATGCGTTTGAGCAGTTAATAAGTGTACTAAATTTTTTCCAGTCCTTCAAGTAGATCTCAAGACTTTGGAGAGAACAGAGAGGTTAACTAAAACTAGTTAATTCTTATATGCTAACTCCATGTTTTATAGAAGGAACACATTCTTTGAAAATCTTGAATTAAGCAGAAGTTTCCCATGCTAATAGAGTATCCACAAAGGAAACTTTCAGTCGTCTTTTGTATGAGAGTCTTTTGCTAGCAGTTACGAATAATGTAAATAATTTATATTTATCGAAGTTTCTGTGATGCTTTTGATCTTTTAGTGATTTAAAGAGGATTTGATAAAGTGTCTATGGTACAGAAATTCAGAAATAAAATTAGTTGAAATTTATTGTCCAAATGTGTTCGAAACTGGAGACAGTGTACAAGGTGTCATTATTTTGCTTATAAAAGTAATATATTCATGAGAAGTCATGTGTGCATTTTACAGGAAAAGCAGTAATTCCTTGAGACATTGGGAAAGACAAAGCTTGAAGAGTAGTGCATTAGAAGAACCTAGCGATCAGCTCAACAGGTCAGTTTGCATTTAGTCTTGGCAAGCTGTGGGCTGAGTGAGAATCATGCCAAACACTGCATTCATGTTTTACATCGTGTTTTAAAGATGCTTTCTTTATATTATGCCTTGACTAGCAAAACTGGTCATTCTTCACTCGAATTCTTATTATACTGAAATAATTAAATTGCTTATTTATGTGACAATCATATTCTCATTGACTAACATTCTATATTTACTGCTGTGATTCCGCATAGTGATTGCCCACTGCACTAAATGGTTGCCAAGCAACAAAATTGCAGGAAACATGATCACAGTTTTTTCTATAAATTCTGATTAGTTTAGTACAGCAGAGTACTTTGCTGTGTATAATATCCTCATAAAAAGGCAAATAATTGTAAAACAAACTATATACTTATAATTGTATTAAGCACATATGACATGCTGTGCATACTTGACTTAGTGTGATAAAGGATCTGTGGAATAAATATGTTCTTTTTTTTTATTTGTTTCATTCTGGTCCATCACACTAACAGTATTACAAATGATAAAACAATTCCATTCAGTGTGACTGTTGAAGCTTTTACTACTTCACTTCCTAGCACCCTAACATGTTTAGGTCCCTATAGACCATCATCGGACGTCACACTGGATGGATGTTTTATCATTTGAAATATGTTCTAATTATGCATTTTTTCTTACAGGAGAACTGACAGTTCCACTAAAGATAATCACAAGCAAAACAACTTATATATTGAGCCTCAGGGCAATGAGAATGAGCCATGTTTTCTCAGGTACAGGTTTTAAGTATTTTAAAAATGTACCCACATTTGTATGGAAAAGTAAGTATCCATTGTAAACGTATGTAATGCCTTTATTTTTCCAACAGAAATGCAAATTATTACACAGAAGCCGAAGATAAAGCTTTGCTTAACTTTGTTGTGCAGCGAGAGAGGTATAGTGAAACAGGAGGAGTGCGTCTATGGAAGTTGATGGAACGAAAGCAGGTGCTACCTGGTAAGAGAGTATTAGAGGTGGAAAAATCCAGTATCATGTTCATAAAATAATGTTAATACAGTAAAGACTAGCTGCTGGATACCCTGGACTCTTCCTGCTCATTTTTTAGAAAAAGGAAAACCAGTATTCAAAAAATCATAATTAATGAATAAATACATGTGCCTTAATCCTTTCCAGTCATCACATTTGGAACATTTCCACAACCAGGACGTCAAGGGTTTTTAAATGCCTGCTGAGTCACTAAATGAAGCATTTTGCCAAAAAAAAAAATGGTGCAACAAGGGCATAAAGTGTAAATGTACTTACATTTTCGATTGTCCAGTTCTTGGGCCAACTCATTGCCGCTATAGTATCTGCCATTGAAAAGTGGTAGTCTTCAATACTAGACACACTGAGTCCTGGTTTGTCCATCAAGGAAAGAACTATTGAAATGAATGGTTTTTCAGATTATGGCAAGTTACACTTGTTGCCTATAAGTTTCCTGTAATTTGGAATTATACTGTGAAGTTAACCAGTGTCACTTTCAGCTAATACAAATAATTTTATGCTCCACTTGATTGAATCTTTAGGATTATAAATTTTGAAAATTATTTTGCGCTTGAACCCAACTGTTGATTCGTCTGTTACAGTGCTTTTACCTAGCACAAAATTTTTTTCTATGTGTTGTATCACCCCATGTACTTTCTTTGTTCTTTTGATGGCCTGATTACTTTCTTCGGTGGTAAGGCACAATAGATCACTGTGGTCAAGGTGCAAGGGCCAAAAAGGCCCACCCCTTATACATTCATACATTCTTCGGTGGTATCATTTCCCAACATGCATCATCCAAAATATCTGTAAAAAGCTATCTCAAGACATTACAACACCAAAAAATTTTATCTTTGTTTTCCTCTCACTAGACCAGTAGTCTTTTATGTCAGGTAATGGGATTATGCCCATATTTATAATTAGACCTCAGAATGACTTTGCTTGAGGAAGACACATGAGCCCACCTACTCTAAATGGACCACGGGCTTAGCTGAAGTTAGTCAGTTTTGTGTCTCACATACCTGTTTATCTCTATAACAGTGTTATTCAAAAGCTCATCATTGAAAAATAAAGTATTCCATGGCTCTGCATTTTTAGTAAATGTGTATTCCTTGGGTCACATATTCCCACCCATCAGTGTGCAGCGACACTTGTGTCACTCTCACTCTCATTTTCCAACATTTCATTACTTGATTCTTCGCTTACAGTTTCTCCTTCTGTTACAAAATTAATCTCATCATCAGGGTCAATATCAAGTTGTTCGCTTAACATATCACTACTAGATAGTACTTGTAATACACAAGTATATGGATGTACATGCTTTATTTACTTACTGTCATTTTAAGAGTCACTTTTTTTAAAGCCCTAAGTTGACCTTTACATGTATCTTTATAGCCTTGACTCATTCTGAAGAACTTTATATTTGGCACTTATGTGAGTATTGCTGTGCATAATGTCTCCTTTCTTTATGTAACTTTGTATAGAGCACTTCATTTTCAAGTAATGTAAAATCTGTACTACTGTATGGGTGTGAACCATGGAAAGTAACCAAGAAAATTTCAAACACCCTGCAGGTATTTGTCAATAAATGTTTAAGAAGAATCCTTTGTATTTTTGGCCAATGGTTGTTACAAATGAAAACCTATGGAAACTAGCAAAGGAAGAACCAGTAGCCACACAAATAAAAGTAAGGAAGTGGAAGTGTATAGGACATACTGTACGTAAATAGAGGCAAGCCCTGGACTGGAATCCCCAGGGGCAGCGAAGGAGAGGTAGACCAAGAACAACCTGGTGGAGAACTGCTGAAGAAGAGGCCCAAAAAGCAGGAAAGATCTGGAGAGAGGTCAAGAGTCTGGCTGGGAACAGAGTCTGTTGGAGATGCTTTGTGGAAGTCCTATGCTCCAAAATGGAGCAAAAGGAATTGAATGAATGAATCTAGAGCATTTTACAAGTATTTACCATGTGCCGGCCATTCACTTTAATTCATTTTGTGGGTTACTTTAGTTGTTAGGTTAATTGAGCCCTTACACATATTTTGAGTCTTTTGAGAGCTTCTGATGTTGACCTTGTGGTGGAGTTCATCCTCTCTAAGAATAACATGTAATGTGTAATACATATGTAGGAATGGTATGCAGTTTGGGCTACCAACATGAATGATGGGCACATAACATAGTCCAGCTTGCCTGTGGGAGTGGCATGGGATCCGCATTGGAGTTTGATGAACCTGAAAGAATAATTTGTGGCCAGTGTAAAGGGCCCTACACACGCTCCGGTAGACCTGTCAGGTGCGCCTGCACAGGCGCGCCTGCGCAGGTCGACCGGAGCGTGTGGATGACAAAACGTCGCAGTTATTGTGACCTGAACAGTCCGCCGGAGCACATTCGAAAAATCATTAGACGACCTGTGCAGTTTTGTACCTGAACCAGGCAAACCGGAGCGTGTGGTGAAATGGCCATCCTCATAACAGTATCTTTCTATTTTAATTAATGGGGCAACTAATGACAGGAGCTGTAAATAAGTTTCTTCATTCATGCGCAAATAATTGTGCCAATCTTTAGGGACCAACTTCAATTCACGTAACAAATTCACATGTGAATAAACGTTTCTTTTCATCAACCACTCTTTGCACCAGGTTTGACGCTTACTTTTCGGTTTGAAACAATTTGTAGCTAATAATAAGCCAAATACAGCTAGAAGATCGTCATCTGTAGATGCCATGTCCGACCGTAGCAAACACACAACTGAAGTAATATCGGAAAGGTGTACCTGAGCGTGTGGGTGCACTGGGGTTTTCAGGTCAACCTGCGCAGGCGCGCCTGTGCAGGTGCACCTGACAGGTCTACCAGAGCATGTGTAGGGCCCTTAACACAGTGCAGCCCCCTGTTGGGGAAGCACTGTAGTCTGACTTAGACAGAAAAATGACTGGTGGCCAATAATGCAGCCTGGTTTTCCTATAAAATAACATGGAACCAGTAATGCATTCTGACATCCATACAAAAATAACGTGAGACAGGCCGCAACACTTGACACAAATTGTAAGTTAGTGTTTACCTGCTAAAAGAAATTTGACTGTAATTAAAATCGTCAGAGATAAAGGTAAAGTTGTCCCTTTGCTTAATTAATTAAGCACAGCACCACACTGTTGAAGATGTGGGAGAGAGTAGGTATATTCCAACATTTGTTACTTTGGCACTGTATGGAGGTGAGTGGTCAGCTTCATGCCCTGGCTGCTTTACCTCTGATGCCCACTGGATGGGAGGCTGGGTGGGCCCTGTGGAGTAGAGAAACATTTTTCGCCCCTGTTGGGAATCAAACCCCAGCCATTCAGCCTATAGCACATTGCTGTACTGACTGAGCTGTGCTGGCTTTCAGTTGAAATGGAGAGTACTGTTTGGAGCACACGTGTATTTGCAGTTTTGCATACCTTATTAGACTCTATCATTTACTGATGCAAATTTTGTAACAGGACAATTAAAATTATATCTCCTTCATATCATTAAATGTGTAATTACACTGATTTGAGTATTGTTTAAGATTGAAGTCCTTCACTTCAACTGTCTGTCTTCATCATTCAGTTGTTGTAACCTGTCACCGTTCATATGCCATAATATTTAGTGAATATTACAAATGTAATAAGTATTATCAAAGTCATCTGGATCCAAACTCAACTATAACCGATGGATGAGGCTTTGGAAAAACTGTTAAGAAGTGAAACAGTTTTTGTGACAAATTTAAAGCATTTGCTCCAGAATAGTTATAACATCCTGTACACTTAAATTGTCTCATAAAATTGAGCTGTCTGATATTGTACCTCTGTGATTTTTGTTTTATAGGTCGTTCTTGGCAGTCCATGAAGGAGAGATATCGTAAAGTTCTTACAAGGAAACTGGACCAGTATCTGCCCAGTGATGTTGTGAACCAGATCATGAAAGCTGAAATAAGAGGTAAGAATGTGACATGAAAATAACTACTTGTTGAACCCTTGTCCAGATTTGGAAATGAGTGCTGAGCACTAATTATAAATAATTTTAAAACTCTTTGGTGGGATACCTCAGTCAGTATAGTGACTGGGCTGTGGGATACCTGGCAGTGCAGTGTCCACATTGCCTCTGGAACCTGTCCAGCCTTCTCTCTATTGGGTACTGGGGGTAAAGTGGCCAGCGTGTGAAGCACTCACATCCCTCTGGTGCTGAGGTTAAGAATGAGCTATAGCTCCATGCCATCATGTATATTCATGGCATGATACTTAATCAAGCACAGAGACATCTTTACCTTTTACATTTCTGTTATTGGCTTGGTATTTGTTTGTTTATTTATTTAATAAAACCCACTATATACATACATCAGCATTTCAGAGTATTCATAAGTGTGCAACTGGCACTGAATATAAAACAACAGTCACTGGTTACAGAGATGTGTTCTTGTTAGTTATCACATGCATGCATTGTGCATATGTGTTTATTTTAATTATATATGTTTATAAGTGAAATGTTCTAGTAGTATCCATACAAGTGCCAGAAACAAGAAAATCTGTTTCACTAGAAAATGGTAATTCTGTCCCTGTAACAGACTGTGGAGGCCCATAGGGTTGTGAAATGTCCATGCTCCCATATTTTATGGACAGTTGGGTAACAGATGGCGGTAAGGTTGTCAGTCTTACGTACTGGCTGCATTTTACCCCCAGGAAGATTTCCTGGTACTCATTTCTGTTAAACTTTGAGTTGCCCCAGGGCCATAGTGCAGCTGGAAGGATTAGGCCAAATGAAAAATGTAGTGATGTCATCAGGAATTGAACCCACAACATTCCGGTTTGTAGAGTAGTGCCTCGACCGACTCTGCTACTGCATACACAAGAGAATGACCCATTAAAATCTATGAGAAATTGAAAATATTAACAGAAGAACGATATTTGTTATAGGCAGTTTAACTCCAGGGAATGTGATGCATCAGTAAAAAATATCAGAATACAACTCAGAATTAAATTTAGATAAAAGAGTAAACTGTAGAAATTTGTTGTAAATAATTCACAATTTGACTCATGCACATCATTTATGTAAGAGAACAATTTATTAGCAGTACCTCACTAATTAAGGAAATACATGGAGAGAGTATGTTTTTAGTTGAATGTTCATTGCATTGAGGACATAAATTTCGGCCCAAGAAGTAATAATTTCAGTTGCATCGGTGAAGAAGTACTTAATGATCTGGATGTACAAATTGGAACATACCTAAGTGTACATTCTGTAGACTGTGTAGATGAGAAAGATTCGTGTTGTGGTCTTCTGTGTTATGGCAGCGTGTTGCACGCTGGTTGACGGGCAGCAATGTTTTGGAGGTACGTACTGTCTCCATCTTCATGGTTGAATCAGCCTTGACAATGAAGGCTCCTCTTAAATGTTGGTACTCACCTATTAGCCTGCAGCAGGGTCTCACAACCGAGAAGACCACAGTATGACTTCATAACCATGAAAATGTCAAAGCTTTTATATGAAAAATGGCGTTTTTCAGTGGAGTTCTGGTGACTGTGAAGATTATTCTCTTCTGAGATGTGCCATATGGTCTATATTTGCTACTGTTTCAGAGGGATTTGTTGCCTCCATCGTAAGGTCATTTCATATCTGCACATTAATTTATTTAATTCTAGGTTGGTACAATTTACTAATATCTTAAAGTAACACTGTTTCAATGCTTTTTTTTTTTCAAGGGTCTAAATGGAAGATGAAGAAGCGGAAACCATCAGTTGCAGCTTGCATGCTTTCACCGCGGAGCCATGAAATTTATAGCATGCAGATGACAGAACCAGAATCAGATATAAGCAAAACTCAGCCGAACTGTCTGGCATTGGATTGCACATGTTGTTCCAATAGTAGTACAAATACAAGCATTAAATCTATAAAGAGTACTGTGCCTGTGGTTTCAGGTACCCCAAACAAGAGGGAACCTCCAAAAAATCCCATTCACAGTCCTAAACGTAAGCTTTTTTCACAGAGGAAATCTCTAGTTGAGTTCACACCAGTATCTGAAGATAAGAGAAGGAAACAGTCATCAAAATATATATATAAGCCAAACTTGCAAATTCATCATCTTACAAAAGGGAACAGGAAAAGGGATGCTAAAGGCTGCAACAGGGTCACCAAAGTAGCTGCAGTTGCAAATGCACAAAAAGAGTCGCAACCCAATGAAGATATGGCACCTTATGGTACAAGGAAGTCAGATGTGGTGGTATGTAACACAAAATGTACCTGCCAAGGTATAGGTACACACCAGAAAAATTCAGGTGGGTCATTTGCAGAGGAAATCACAAATAAGGAATCACATACATTAGTAAGTGAGGGAGATTTATTAAAATTAAGAGGTGCCTCGGAGAACTCTATATTAGATGACAATGTAGTGCATATAAATAATGAAGCTAACAAAAATTACCAGGAACTTCAGATCAGTCGTACTCGTGTTGATTCCTTGATGTGTTTACTTAGATCTTCAAGCAGTGAGTCTCATTTGGACATTATATCTGGGGAAGAAACAGAATTTGAATTAAATGTGCCTACCTGTCCTGATTCAGCCCAAGAAATTTTACATGTTCATGAAGAAGAAATGGGAAGCAATGATCTATCTTTTGGAGTACAAACTGCATTGAATAAAAAAGGCAAAATAAATGGTATGTCAGTTGAAGGTGGAAATGAAGGGGAAACACTAAATAATCATGAGCGTATATCAGATAAAAGGGAGGAAGGACAGGGGACGTCATGTGCACATATTTTAAAAGATAGGAGTGTAATGGAAGAACTGTCATGTGGCAAGCCCCAAGACAAGGAAATATCAGAGAAGTCTTCATGTGAACTAAACCTTGCAGACTCGTCTTATAAGCAATCATTATTGAAAAATGATCATTCTATTCACAAAGTAACAGTTTGCCCCAAAACACAGTCTGGCGATAAACATTCTGTTACCAAATCTCTCTCCCAAAGTAGCTGTTTTGAGGGATGTGAAAGTCATTCTTGCATTCATGATAATACATTGAATGGTGAAGATATTGGTTCTAGGGAAAATGGACCTAATATTTTATTATTAAAACACAGTATTCCTGATTGTCAAAACAGTAATGGAAAGTTAACTGAGACAAATGGTAATGAGGGAGAGGAAGTTGATGAAGAATGCATAGAGAAATACTTAAACTTAAATCTTATGCAGTCATGGAGAGAAGAGAATGAAATTGGCAATGGTAAAGTAGGTACAGATGGTAACAGGGAAGATGGCAGTGATATTCCAATCCCTGATATGTATAAAGTATATGGGGAAAACGGAGCTTATTTAAATGTTTCAAATTCCATTAAAAATATACTGAATGATAGTGTATGTATATTCAAAGATAATCAGTTTGAAATTCTGGACATCCCAGACTTCATTTCTATAAGAGCAGATGGAAACCAACAGGAATCTGGCACTGGAGATAGTGAACATGGAAGTAAAGAAACACCTAGAACCAGAATTGTGTCTGCAAATAGCAGCAGAACTACAGATAATACTAATCATGATATACTTCTTGCACAACCGGATGCCACAGTCAGTCACTCTACTAAAGTTTTGTATCATCCAGCAGGAAAGAAAATTCCCTCAGTTAGACAGAATAGACATACTGTGTGTACAGAACTTGGAGAAGAAAGGCTTATTGGTCCTTTACCTACAGAATCAGATAAGAAATCTGGACAAAATCAGACACAGGCAGCATTACCGAATGGTCTTGGGACTGGACAGACTATAGAAACAAGGTGTAATAACAAGTCTTTAATTTCTGGTAGAAACAATCAAAATGGAAAGTTCTTGTTATCTACGCAAGTAACAGAAAATGATGATAAACATCTGTTAGAAGCAGACAGTAGTTTGTTGAAATCTGGCAAGAATACCATCATCAAGAAATGTAAACAAAATAAGGATTGTGTTAGTTCAATTCATGCAAAGGAGAAAATTTTAGATGACTTATTGTCACAAAGACAGGGAGCAACCAGTGAATCACGCTGTACAGGTAATATGTTAGGGCAAACTGACATCTATAAAACTGCATTTTTATCCTCCAACTTATCTTTGTCTTCATATAAGGAGAGATCTTGTGAACTAGTACCTGAGAATATTACAGCAAATTCAGATCAACAATTTTCAGAAAAATCTTCTTTCTTTTGTCCATGCCAAGAATTGATGTCTCCTCCATCATCATCATTGCTACCGTCAGAAGAAGGGTAATATTTTTTTATTTCTTTTAAGATGTCATGATTTTGGGTGACTATAGTTGGGGATTGGATTGGTGAATAGATTTATTGACCACTTAGAGGATGTAACTATGAATAACCGTAATACCATTGCTGATTTCCACACTACAAATCACTTCATGCTAAGTCTTCTCAGCCTGCTTTCACTAGTCATTGCTTCGTAACAGCTCTCAACAATGGCTATTCCTCTGCAGTGTTTTCACTAGACATTTCCTGGCAGTGAATCTTAACAGTGAAGGTTCTCCAGCTTGTGTTCACATCTGGCGAATATCCCACAACTGAAGTGGTCAACTTAATTGTCTTCAAGATAACTCCTCAGTGTGGGCCACATCAAAAACATCATTCTTCTATTGTTGCGGATATTACCTAGCGACTGCTGCTGTTTACAGAGTCACCACTTAGCAACGGGTCTATACACCATTATATGGATCCAACCCATTTGTTTAATTTCTTACTTCAATATGTATTTGCAACCATGTATTCTCTCATTTTATATATGCTTTTTATACTGAAGTAAGTGGACTACTTATATACTATATTGGGCCACACCATAGCTCAAGCGGTTAGTTGCTGGCTTCCCACGGCGGCAGCCCGGGTCTGGTCAAGTGGGATTTGTGGTGGACAAAGTAGCGCTGGGCCAGGTTTTCTCCGAGTACTTCGGTTTCCCCTGCCAATCTTCATTCCACCAGTTGCTCCACAATCACCTTCACCTATCATCTGGGACTGGTACAATAAGCCAGAAGTGGCTGCAGTACAAGGGACTTACTCCCACCCCACTAGCAATAAAAAAATACATATTTCACGGATATGCAGTACCATCCTAAAACCAAAAGCTTAACAGTGAGGAACTCATGGGAAAGTGACTTGAACAAACACAGTCAGTTCACATGGATTATTCAGTTTACATATAATCCATCCTTCATTGCATGATTTTTTTCATTCTATACTAACACAGTTATACAGACATGTCTGATCATTTCTTCTTTCAGCCAGTGCAGGGATTGTGGAGGGAAAAAGAAAAATGCTGGTAATAGTAAACGTGGGGGAAAGGGGTGTTGCTGGTATGAAGAAAAAGTCATTTTCTTCCGTGTCCTTCCTTCCTTCCTTCCACATGACATCTTTCCGAACCTATTTTTGCCATCTAGTTTTCAGCCATATTCTTTGACATTTTCCTTTTAGTTTCAGATTCAAAACCTTGGAAAATATTTATTCTCCAAATTGGAGTGCATAATAATCTCTTTGTATACAGAAATAAACTGAAAACATTTGTTATAGTACTTAAGGCAGCTGTTTGTCACAGGTTTTGCTGCACAAACAATGGATGCCACTAGTGAGTGTGAAGAAGTTAGAAACCTGGAACAGCCAGTGTCATCAGAACACCAGGGGAACTCAACTGACTGGTTTGAGTCAAGTACAGACAATTCTGATTCGCCAGTTCAAGAATCAGGCTCCTCGGGACATGATCTGCACGAGGCCTGCTGCAGCCTGACAGCCAGTACTATATCCACAGATGACAGCTGTGCTATGTTCAGTCATTCTAATGCATATAAGAAACTGAGGAAGAAGCGATGGAAGGAAACTGCAGACTGTTCAATTTGTGACAGAACTCAGAACATGGAACCTTGTATGCCTGATATATGATGCTATAACCATAAATATCAGTTACGAAAGGTTATATTCATTTTGTATAAAACAGTACGCAACCATGATACGTTACTTCGCATGTTATGTACTTTTAAGAAGCCATAGCAGAGAAGAGGTCTGCATCAGCGCTGATGGAAGTGTCAGTCCTCACGATGCTAAAATGAATATGTTTTGTTGCTTACTGTAGCATAAAGTGAATGTATGAGGGAGAGTCAGTAAATAGGTCACAAATGGAAGTAAAAATAGCTGTAATGGAAGTAATAGGTTTTCTGTGTGTATCCCATGCTTGAGGCACATTTCAGCTTCATGACAGTCTAAGTAGCAGACTCACATGCACATGTTCAGAGGCTGGTTTCAGTAGTCAAAATGGTGACCATGCTTGAGGAGTGTGCTAACGAAGAGCAGTGTTCTGTTGTGCTTTTCTTTTTTTGTGGGGAAAAGGACTCAATGCAAAGGATATTCATAAAGAAATGTTTCATGTTTACAGTGGGAAGTGTTTATCATGTTAAAGCAGTTCACACCTGGGTGACAAATGTTTTGCTGATGAAGAAGAGGTTGAAATGGAGGTGCAGAAGTTGCTGAGACAACAGTTGAGAGACTACTGTGTTGCGGGCTTCAACGCACTAAAGCGATGGTACAAGTGTATCAATGTTGGCGGAGGATATTTTGAGAAATAAATGTTTTTACCAGGTTCAGATATCGTATGTTTTATGTTTTATATCCATTTGTGATATATTTGCTAATTCTGTCTCGTACTGCAACCTCAGCCATCATCTATTTATGTTACATTTAATGATGTTTCAAATATATTTTACCTAGAAGAGATGTTTAGGATCATATTAAGTTCATATCTACAAGAAATTTAATTTATTAAAAATATTATTTTAGTTATTCGCCATCTGTATGCTCTTATTGCCTTTCCATTTGTTTCATATTCATAACAAAAATATTTATCCATATCATTTCATAGACTAAATGGTATCCATACATATGAGGATAGAACATAAAATCCTGGGACTTGTTTATATCTTGGGGGGATTATTCAGGTCCCATGTCACATTTTGATATGTTTAAACACTTGATGGATTTTAAAGGGTTCTGACAATGCCATATAACACTCAGGATTACTGAGTCTGTGGCCCATATGGCATATTTAACCAACCAGTGATTGAGATTAGCTTTTTCTGGTGGACCCAACAGAATAGATATCTCCCCCCTCACCTGATGATGGATAAAGTCCAAAAACCCAGTAATTCCGAGTGTTATACTTGACAGAAAGATGTGCTTAGGGAGTAAGCTGCAAGTATGGTTTCATCTGGGAACATCCCATGAGTAAGGGAGAAGTAGTAGTGAAAGGATGTTATGTTACAGGCTGGAGATGGAGGTATCTTGATTCAATTGCAAGAGGTCAGGCCAAAATGGAAAGTGTTGGCAAGGCCCTGGGATACAAAGAGGGAGGGAAGTAGTAGAGTAATCATTGGATTAAAGGAAGAATTTTATCACATGCATGGGCAGCGTGACTAAAGTAGCTATGTAGCTGCTAAGTTTTTCTTTGCATGACCTCAATTTTCAGCAGTAGCTCCATAACTGCTAAGTTTCAGACCCTTCTTGGTATGACATTTGAACTCAAAATAACCTAGTAAACATGCTGAAGTCTGGTAGGCGTTTTGTGAGATATTTTGGGATACTGTTACATGATACAATCACATGAAGGAATGTTTATTAGTAACTATATCATCACATATACAGGGTGTGCATGACTTAGACATATTTTGGATTGGATTTGTTGACACCTTATACACTAAACTCAGACCTATGGGCAATTACAGTGCTATTAATGTTCCCACACTTTACAGGTCACTGTTACACACACTAGTGTCTTCAGTTGATTACATTCTCCACTTGTCGTTTCATGGCAACACATTGATAGCAGTCTCTAGGTCACTCCAAATCACACATGAAGTCTTCTTTGCACAGCATAATTCATTTCTTGCCATTCTGCCAATTGCCAACTCTGGAGACTCTCTCAGGTCTGATTCCTCTGCTCCCAAGCTCATATCCTGGCAAGCTGGCACCGCAAAACTCAACTAACTCAAACAATCTTTGTCTTTTTATAACCATTTGGCACAGACCATGCAGAAAACACAGCCTCTCTGTTGTTGGTAAGGCATGTTTACACCACTGTTGCATAGCAACAGAAGTTATTTGATTGTGCTTCTGTATTCGTTGCTGCAGGAATGTGTTTTACAGAGCAGTTGCCCGGCAATGGATGTCTCCTGATTTCACTATTACAGCTTTTGGGTGTCATGTCACAATATAGAAGTACCAAGTGCATGACTGAGTCAGCCCCCCACCCCACACACACACACACACGCACACAAAAGGATAGTAGTGTTTATTAATTTTAACATATTATAACTGTCACATTGAAGTGGGGGATGAAGTTGGCCATTCACCTTTATCTGATGCTGAGGTTAAGAATGTGTCAAGTTGACCTCCACTCCCTTATACATAGTCATGGTGTATACTTGATTAAGCACAGGAATATTTCTTCATGGCAAGGTTTCAAATTAAGCACAGAGAGAACCATTTTTAACTTAATTCAGTTCTGACAGTTATAAATTTAACCTTATCTGTAACTGTCTTTACTATTAATTGTTATTAATTAATTAGTGTTACATTTGATGGATATCTTCTTTAATAGTCAGTATAAAGTTAATGGTTTAGATGTCTTTACAGTTTGTAATCACCTGAGGTAATCATAAGTGGATACACATTAGGAAGATACTAACCACAATAATTTATATAAACCTGTAAAAAGTACTCTATTTGCAATTTAACCCGTTGCCGTGGTTCGTCGTGTATGTTTCGTCAGGGATTTAAATCAGACTTTATGTAGAAAGTGAATTTATGCGTGTGTGTATGCATGTGAAGGCAACAAAAAACGAACCTGGTACCCGGCAATATAACTGGGCCACCATATCAGTGGGGGACATAAATACAGGGACTTAGTCATCCAGGTTGGGGTTCCATGTAAGGCTGACTCTCTTGCTCTGTAAAAAAAAATGCTGTTGTGAAATCCAAGGAAGCGCCAAGTGGGTACAGTCTGGCATAATCTTCTAAGGAGGCTCAAAGAGGGCTGTTTTGCTGCTGCTGCTGGTGATGCTAGGTATATACATTAAAGGTAAAGTTGTCCCTGTGCTTAACTAATTAATAACTAAGCCATGAAGCCATATGGGATAGTGAATGTATATCGCCACATTTTCTTGACCTTGACACTAGTTGGAGGTGAGTGGCCAGCTTCATGCCCCTGCCATTTTACCCGTGGTGAAAGGGCTCCTGGTACCCATTGGATAGGCTGTGTGGACCCGAGAGCTGATCTGGATGACCTGGAGAAGAGAAAGTTCTTGACCCTACCAGGACTTGAACTCTGACCCCTCAGTCATCCAGCCCATAGGTAGTCATTATACTGAGTACGCTATCCCAGCTCCTAGGTAATATATATTACATGTATTAAATAAAATATATTTTCATACCATCTTATAACACAAAACATTCTGTTCATTAGATGGTGAATGTACACTCTCTGTGTAATTTCCTAAGCTGCTGTTAAAGGAAGCAAAATAATTTTTTTCAGTCGACAATAGATATTGAATTTCAGGCTGGCTCCCAAATGTTAAAATGGTGCAACAGAGTTAATTCATGCCATGTATATATGTGTCTGTCTATGGTCAAAACTTTCAGAACATATTGGTCAGATTTCAGTGAACTGAAATTTTAGATTACCATGTTTTGCATAGACAGATTTCTGAAATCAGAAACATAGTAAATTTTGTTAGGCTAATTTCTGCTGCAAATTTAAGATACAGATATGCCATGAAGGAATGAATTCTGTCTTTAATTATTACACCTTCTAAATCTTTGTGGTTTATGTATGTGAAACTGTTAAGGAAAGTCATGTAGGCCCACCACATATCATAATTTGTCATATGTAAACAAAAACTGTCAACCAACTTCCATGCAGATCATTGATATGTATGGTCACAACCTTCTAGAAAATAAAACATAATGAGAACTGCCTTCTGAAACTTGCCACTACCGTCAACATACGGTGCTGATGAAAACTGCCGTGAGATATATATGGGAATTTGAATTAGTTATACGAGGAGCATTCCGTATATAATGCCTCCTATTTTTTTTTAATGAAAACTACAGCAGATACAGAAAGCACAATAACGCAGTTAAATAGAGCAAGATTTCAGCTACTTACAGTTATTTTTCCACATAATCACCACCATTCGTTATGCACTTTTGCCAGCGATGAACAAGAGCCTGTATGCCGTGCCTGTAAAAGTCTGCACTAGCAGAGGCTAGCCACTTTCTTACAGCTGCATTGATAGCATTGTTTTCTGGAAAATGTTGCCCACGTAGTCCATCTCTCATAGGCCCAAAGAGATGGAAGTCTGAAGGTACTAAATCGGGGCTATAAGGTGGATGTGGTAGGACAGTCCAGCCAAACTTTGCAATGTGCGCGGTGGTCGCCAAACTGGTATAGGGTCTAGCGTTATTGTGTTGCAAGCGAAAGGTTGTCTGCTTCTGTGGCCTGACTCAGGCTTTCAGCTTAGTCAGCATCATCTTGTAGCATTCAGAATTGACAGTTTCACCAGGCTCCAGGAAATCCAACAAAATCACACCCCGACTATCCCAAAAGACCGTGCACNTGTTATGTGACGATCTGTATGGATGAACTGATCAAGGCACTGTTCATTGCGAGGAGTGGCAGCTGAGCAGGGATGCCCAGGGTATGGCTTGTTGTGCACTTCACTTTCGCCACTGTTGAAATGCACTACCCACTGCCTCACTGTGCTGACATCCACTGTACCATCTCCGTACACCTTTAGCAAGCGTTGATGGATGTCAATGGGTGCAATTTTTTTGTCAGTGAGAAATTCAATAACACATCTCTTTCATACCCACGTCTATGTCAGACGCCACTTTGATAGACTGCTCTGCTGTCGCTATCTGTCGCATGACAACCAAACTAACAGTACATTGGCAGGAAGGTTCAACCTTTACTACAGCAGCACCAACATCTAGCTCGGACGTTACATATTAACACAAAAAAATTGGAGGCATTATATACAGAATGCCCTTTGTATATTTGTGAAAGAGGAAAATCTCTTGCATTATTTACTGTTCTATGTTTCCTGCTGAAACTTGAAGCAAACACAAATATAAATTTTATCAGTATTTCACAAGCATTGCTGCTGTAATAGGTAAGATAGTAAGTAAGATACAAAAGTTTGTGATGATGGCATATTAATACAGTTATTTTACTTCTGGACATTATCATCTTGCTTTTTATTTAAAACACAACATTTCACAAAGTGGATTCTATTTCTGTCTTCAGGCGAAACCTACTCAGTTAGGGGCCCAATCGGTAGGGCTACTCCCTATCTCCAGAGAATCCAGTCTCCAAAAAGTGTTTTAAATAAAAAACAGGACAATGGATAAAGTCAGATACAATAATTGAGGTAAAAAAGTAGGTTGATGCATGAAGTTTCCTTTTTGTTAGCAAGTACTCATAATTTATAATTTATTTACATTCATAGACTGATACACAAGTACAATTGGACAAGTCAGTTTAAGCCAGATATTTGTATTGCAGAAACAGGTAAAAAGGTCAATGAAATGTTACATTTATAACTTAAACACATTCTATACATGCATTTGAAATTCCTGATGATGTCATTTTCATCTAATAAGCATTCATGGAAATTCCTTTCAACCAAGCCTAACTCTTCGCAGCAGCTGGTGGTCACTGTATAAGTGCCTGGTTACTAAACACTTGAATCTTGCTAAATTATATAATTTGAGGTTCTCATTGTGGAGATTATTGTTTTCTGGGATATGATGCCTTTTAATCTGGTATCTGCTTACCAAAATTTTGCAGGCAGCACAGTCCCCTGAAATATATATTAAATCTCTTCCGGGCTATGTAGCATTCATCCCAAAAGTAATCTTCCTGCATCAGACTGTTGAAATCTGGCTGCTACAGTCCTGTTTTTCTATAATTATCAGGTTCAGTTCTTGTGAGCAAAATGAAAACAAAATAGTTTCAAATAAGGTAAAGATTTGACTAAGCTTGCTTTTTTAAAATATCACATTCAAATGTTCGCTTCATGTTTATTTAAGTGTACTCAGTTTAACTTTTAATGCTGCACAAGACATTATTATTTCCATGATTTCTTCTTGATCCATTCCACTTTTGCAGCCTGAGACAGCTCTACCATAATTACAATAACAATACAAACACATTGCATGTGGCTGTCTGCAAGAAGTTCTAGAAAAAGCTAATGCCTACTTGCCATGTATACAGAAGTTCACGCAACTTTATGTTAAACGTTTATATAGCTGTCACTCATAACATTTCTGTTAGGACAGACTTCTGATGCCTGTATGTCTCCCATGTTTTTTTTTTGTATAAAAGAAGAGTTAAAAAGAATTTTTTTCTTTATGTGTAACTTTTTTTTTTATTTGAAAGTTTATACACCTGAAAATTCTATCGAATATATGCTTTTCATATCCACATAAACAAACCTAATTATTATATAAAAATATGTTAAAAGAAAATGAAGCTTGAACTGAGTGCTTACTGGTTGATCCAAAAATTAAGTAATATGCCAATATTAGGAGGTTTTAAGACAATGGTCACAGCAAATTTCTTGTGAATGAATGTGGCCAGGGCAAAATAACACTCGAGAACTGATGCAACATAACTTTGAAGAAAGAGATATACTTACTGACACCAATATCAGTTCAAGCAACATTTACTTAAATGCAAGAACATGAACTATATTTCCTCCTCAGTATCTTCACGTTTAAGTGATAATTTGCAGTGGAAATTTTCTCCATATTTTTTACACATGCTTAACATTTCCATGGCAGTCAGTGTTAGGCGAAGTCCATTGACTTCTTGTATCCATTCTGTACTTTCACGACATGAAGACACCTTAAAGTAAACAACAAGCATATTAGCACAGTGGCCCAAAAGTCAGTCAACCTAAAATTTCCTCTTGTATTAATGGGACTATTCAGATTTAAACCTGCCAGTCAATTTGTAGGAAAGTATCACAGTATTATGATTTGTGCATTGAAATGGAGGATCTCTTTTTTGAACAGTTTTTTAAACCCAATAAGTAATAAAGACATTGCCAACACATTTTTGTTTAAATTTTACTAACCAGTTAACCGACTTTTAGGCCATATTGTATATGCTGGCATATTTTTAGAAACTTCATAATTTGATTTCAAGGAGGAAACCTCTAGGTCACAGGTCTGTACTGGAATGTTTATGATAATTGGCTGCCCTCTTTATGTACATGATCAGATTATCCATTAAGTTATAGCCACTTAAGTAGCTGCTATATTTTTTGGAGTAGAAAGGCACTTTGAATCATTGCCTACTGACTTTTCTGTCTATCACAGACATTGACCAATGAATAAAAAAATATCCTTTACTCATCATGTGGGCTTATAGGTATTTTTCTGAAAATAGCAAGAGCATGAGAAGTTATATGTTTGAGTTTATGGGTACTTCTTCAACTGTAGTAGGTAAATGTGTTAAAAGTGTTTGATTTGATTCATTCTGTGTTGTAAACTGTATTCTTTATTAATTATACCTTCACTATCTGAAAACATTTCTGAAAAATTGCATTTCCCTACCTGTTTCAGTCCTCAGGCTATTATCATGTGGAAAATTAAGGGGGATAATGGTAAATGAAACATACAGAGCAAAGAATGAAACGTCAACTTGTGGGAAGAAAAAGTGAAGTTCCCTTTCAAAGAAACAGAATTTTGTATTTTAGTCACTAATTGTAAGATCAAGTAGACACAATACTGATTTAATTTGACATTTCAGTTTGGATGTGAATGAAGAGCACATGTTTGTTATACACCATAGTCAGAACCTTTAGAATACATTGATTGTAAAATCCCACAGTATGAAAATATAAAAATTCAATAACAGATCAGTTATGGAGCTAAAAATAACAAATCGCTTATGAAGTTAAAAAAAGTATTGTAAGTTATTCAACTCAATAATGAAACATGATACATAACTACTCACCTGATGATGATCTGGGTGTAGGTCAAGATGTATTTTCAAGGTTATAGTATGTGTGTGTGTGTGTCTATTGTCATGTAGGAGAGTGACCCTCGACAGGGTTTTGGATCAGACATTATATTTACTGACCACTTATACACACCACTCAGAACTACAAGCAATTACAGGGCCACCGCTAATCTCCATAATTCACAAATCATCACAGCACCTGCCAAGTCTTTACCAGCCAATGGCTTCTAACAGTGGAGATTCTTCAGCTTCACACACTCAAGTCCTCTCTGAATGGTGGCTCCTTTCCAACTGCCTCTTTTTCTTAGACTCCCATACAGAACTGACTTGGTTGCCCCAACTGTCTTCCTTATAGCCCCTTTGCATGGACTGAGTAGAAACTGCCGTTTCCAACAATACCTCTATTGTTGCATGCATGGGAACATGTTTACCAAGCTGTTGCCTAGAAGTGGCTCTGGTATGTTTGCTTATCTTGCGGTCATTGAATAGTAATGGCTCTACACGCAACAATATGAAATAACATTTTCCTATGAATACTTACTTTACTTGAGTGAGTGAACATTTTACGATCACTGATGTCAGAAACAGTGACTTTATACTTAAAAGTAGATGCAACTTCATCTGAAGCCACCATTTGGGCTATAGCATCCAAGTGTCCATCACAGTTTACATTTACTACCAAATAAAAGAGACCCATGTTTGGTATATAAATAGCAGCTGGATAATTGCAATCAGGCAGGTACTCCAACTCCCATTTTTCTTTGAATTTATGTGTACTAGGGACCTACAGAAAAACACAAGACAGGCTATATTAAATAAAGACAGTGTTTTAAACAGAGCAGAATTTTACTTATCAAGATACTGTCTTCTGAATAACATTGTACAATAAACTGCATATAAAGGCACAGATAAGTTCCATCTATGCCAGAGCCTCATGTTGTGAAGGTATATAGATAGTGTTAAATGTTTAGCTCCTGTCTTTCAGTAAGAAGGTGTGTGCTACTCTGTATGTGGTGAGAAAGAGAAAAGTAATGCCATTTCCAGTAATGGTATTTTACACGTTCAAGGTAGAGTCTGGTGGGGAACAGAATAAATAGATAATAGCTGAATGGGTTGGCATTGTGGTGATGCCTTGACTCATATTTTGCAGATGCTTGGTTCGAAACTCAGCTTGGACCCAGGCTATCCTGACAAAGGTTTTTTGAGGCTTTATTCAGTCTCTCCAGACAAATGCTGGGATAGTACCACGATTAGGCCACAACTGCTTGCTTCCACATCCTTTCAGTTCATCTATCATCCTACCTTTTGTCACAGTATAGTCCAACTACTGACAGCAGTGTAGAATAACCCACAAAATAAAGAAATAAAGAAGATAGGATGATCATGAACAGTGAACTGGGAAGAATATGAAAACTGCTGTGATCTCCTTTAGATACTATCCCAGAATTTGCCTGAAGGAAACCTGTAGCTCATCTCCAGGTCAATATTAAAATGTAAGGAATAGGTTATACATTAATTAGTGTTTTTTTTTCACTTGGGCATGATGTAGCAGTAACTTACTGTAGTGGATTCTTAAACAAGATATACTGCCTTATAACATGGCAATAAAAAACAAAAGAGTTGCAATCCAAGTGAAGTAGCTTCCATTTCGTTTACATAAGTTTTTAAATTGAGTAATACATAAATTTTACCCTAGGCTGATATGCCTTATTAAATTCATGTATGCCTTTATACAGGTCTCTCACATTTCTAATTGTACTGTTAATTTCCATCTCACTGATTTTTTTAGATATTCTGTCTCTGAAAATTTCCTTAGAAAATATGAAATTTAAGCATGTATACACACACAAATGACATATGCCATTTAAGTTCCCAATATTCAGCCACAATGTTTTACTAATTATGGACAAGTAAACAAGCAAGTTTTATGATTGTAGTGGTAGGATTAATGAGCAGTGGTATTTTTTAATGCACTTGCTATCAAATCTTTTCTATAGATTGTGTAACAATTGTGCAAAAAATTATCATTTACAACAAACATCTGTGCTCAATATCAGTTATCTTGCATGAAAATGTCATCTTTAACTACATAACATGCTACAATACATCACTGGGAAAAATGACACAGTTGAAAGCTAACAACAGATGTAGTATCAAGAGAAATGATGAAAGCAGGAGGATCAGCAGGACATCATTGGCTTGCAGAGTACTAAGAGATATGGAAAAGAAAATAAGAACTCTAATTTAATAAAAGGATGCAGAAACAGTATAGAGGGGACTGTGTTACTTGGTAACTTTAAAAATATGTGACAGTTATAAATTTGAAACTGAAAAGACAGGTGGAAAACGAACAAAAGTATCATATTGTTTCTGAAATAAGAGATCTATAGTTGATTTAATCTTTGAAGTCAGAGAAGTAGTAGAGAAAAAGATAGAAATTTGGCAGTGACACATGTTTGGATTTTATTGATATGGAAAAGGTGAATGACAATATAAACAGACAAGAAATCTGGAAAGTGATACAGATAGCTTATGTTTCAAAAGGATTGCTGGGAAGAATAAAAAGCACTGACGACAAATGTCAAGACAGTATCATCACAGACGCCTCACCCCCAAAACTGAATGGTTTCAAAAGTTAGAGTGATTAATGGTTTTATCCCGTGTTTTGTTCAGCACAGTAACAGATCAATAAGAAGAGTTATAAGAGGATAGGGAGAGGCAGAGGGAGATAAGGAGGAGAAAAAGAAGAAAGAAAATCGGTCTCAGTCAGATCAGATTTATGGCACATTGACACAGAAACACTTTGGTAATTCTATACACTTTGCACCTTACCTTTCTGAGTATTGTAGGATGGTGATACCGCAAGTGAGTCAGCACATGTGCTGCTGGTTGCTCTTTAGTACATGACTTGAACACACAAGGGAATGTACCAGGACAGAATTTAGGATGGGATATAGCTCTCTTATCTTTTCTTTCATGTTGACTAAAACTTGCTTGCAGTGGTATATTCAAATTCCATATAGTCTTAATCAAGTCTTCTGCCAAATAGTTTCTAGTCCCATAGAAAATCTGCTTGCACAAGGGACATACTTCCATCCTTAATCTTTCATGGCAACTTTTACAGTAATGATGTCCACGGTCACACTGATATATTGGTGGCTTTAGTAAGTCAAAACAAACTGGGCATTTTATGATATGATATATTTCTGAACCAATTTCCTGTCAGGATAGAAAAATAGAACAATTAAAACCAGCTGCATTAAACAGATTTGTTACAACAGTAGAAATATAAACAAATAAATAAGAATAAGTAATTTGGACTTTAGATGAGCATACAGAAACAGCAACAAAAGAGGTGAATATAAATGTTGGCTCTGTGCCTAAGCACCATGCCATGAAGACACACATTTTGGTTTACAGGGAGTGGAGGGTAAGACACATGCATAAGCTCAGCTGTAGACAGTGTGAGATGTGATCAGTTAACTTCACACTCTGGTTTCTCCAGCTACAAGGAAATAGCCCACCTAACCATTGGTGATGGATCCAACAGCCAATCTGCACTTGCTGACGAAGAAATGAATTCTTCCCATAAGAGGAGTGAAGTTTCAAATCATGTTTCTTCTTTGTTTCCTCAACCTTCAAAACAATGCCTCTCCTAAAGATCTCCTGAAGAAGATATCTTCTGGGATATAATGCAGTGTAGCCCGTTGAAAGTCTACAGACATTTCAGAGGAAAATGTCACCTCAGTTTTCAGGATCAAAGAATAAGGCAAGCAAGAAAGCAGCGTGAAAACCAGTCAGCAAGCCGAGCGATGTTCAAAATGGAGACGACATGTTGACTTTCAACGGACCAAACAGAATTATGAAGAAGAAAACAGAACTGTTTATAACCACCATTGTGAGGACCTTGGATCCTATAGTTGCTCTCCTGTGTGAAAGGTTCTTACAGTATTGTGTGGCACTGTAGGTCAGTGATTCTCAGCCTTCTGGATCTTACACAACACTGATCTTTGTGTCAGAACCTTAATTCTGCTACAGGAAAAGCATTTCTCTTTTTCCAAGAACTGTATTTTCACAATTATGTACATTCTAGTATTACATTAATCATTAATGGGAATTGTTATTTTTGAGATCTTACAAGGATACTCAAGAGTCGTGGTAGTGTAGTTGGTATAGCGACTGGCTGCTGTCTGGACTGAGGGGTCAGAGTTCGAGTCCCTGTGGGGTCAAGAATTTTCTTTTCTCCAAATCGTCCAGACCAGCTCTGGGGTCCACCCAACCTCCTATCCAATGGGTACCAGGGACTCCTTTCCCAGGGGTAAAGCGCCAGGGGCGTGAAGCTGACCACTCACCTCCATCTAGTGCCAAGGTCAAGGAAATGTGGATCTATACATCCACTCCCCCATACTTCTTCATGGTGTAGTGCTTAATGCGTTGAGCATCAGGACAACTTTACCCTTTACAAGGTTACTCAGCTGACTGTCGAAGTCCCACCAGTGGGGCTGTTCTATTTTATGACATTGTGTTGTCTGGAATGTGAGCACCAACATTTCAGAGGATCACACTGCCTTTATCTTTAGACATTCGCCGGCAATATGCTCTTCTGAAACTTTGGTTTCCACTTACAATACTACATGTAAACCCAGAAGACCATGGTAGGAATTTATATCCTAGCTTTACATTTTAATATATAAATTAGTAAAATGAGACTTGCAAGATTTGTAGCATTTATGGGAGACATGAGACATTTCAGTCAGAAAACCTGGAGGGAAGTAGTTACCACTTGGGAAACCTTGGCATAGATGGGAGGATAAATATAATGAATCTTATGGAAATAGGATATGGAATGGTTTGAACTAACTCTTGATATGTTGGTCTTCTGTGAATGTAGTGTTGAACTTTCACATTTCATAATGTATAGTGAATTTCTTGATTAGCAAAATGATTATTAGGTTCTCAAGCAGGACTGCTCCATGGACTTGGTTAATAATTATACTCTCTACTCATTTTATGTTCTCAAATGATGACAGGGCTTCTATATAATAATGAGACACATTCATATGGGAGCAACTACTCAACTTTCAGGTTGTTAAGTGGAAAGAGGTAACTTTAATATTTCAGAATAAAGAAAAAAGTTCCCATTATCCATGATTTTAATAAGACTGTACCATCCTACCTCTTTGCTACTAGTTGCCATTATTATACAGCCAGCATGCAGTTAGATGTGTCTGATCCTGCAAATAAATTAATACTGAACTTAGATTTAATTCTTCTTGTGCATACACAATAAATATTTAATTACTGTTGTTCACACTACTTGAAAAAATAAACTCATATACAGGTAAAACTAAGAAACTGTAAACACAATGAAATGTGGCATTTGCAAATAACAGGGGAATGCAGTTTAAAACACTAAGAATGCAATGAAGACAGCTTATCTATAAGAACTTACTACAAATGGTGTTACTGAGGCAACACAGTGTTACCATTTAATACGAATACTGATGAAAATGGGAAAAAAGTAATCTATTGGGTGGGTTATGGAATAAAGTGGCCATGGCATATTATCATGGCACTACCTTGGCATTTTCCTGGATGGACTGGAATAAGTCAGGAAAGAATCTCATGATTGTGATTGTGATGTTTTAATGGAGGCCCAGGTTTATCGTTGCGGTGAAATTGCTTCGTATCTTCATCCCTTTCCCCTTTTCTTCCTATCCATTATCTCGTTCATGGTTTTTATTCCCCTTCCTCCTTCCTTAATTTCTCAATCCTGTTGTACTCCTCTCACTTTCTCCTTCCATCTCCTTTATACTAAGGCAGTTTAGGTAAATATCACTCAAAACATGCTGTTACAGGAGAATAAATATGAAAATAACAGCCATGATTTGCATTATGTTATTTCAACATTTTCGGTAAGGTCTACATTGCCTGTGAATGCAAGCAAACTTACATCATACTGTTTTTTATAATTACAGATCATTGTAATATGGCTGGTAAATATTACAATTTTACAACTAAGGACTTTCTTTGTTCTTTTTCTCGTTTGGTGATTAAACAATTTTTACTAAACATTATAACTCTCTCTGCACAGAATTTCATTATGTGAATTTCTTACAATTGTTTTTATTTCCATTATATACTGACAACAGATTTCTGATAAATGTTTCTATCCATTCTAATGCAAAATTTTTAATTGCACGTATTCAGTGTGAATGATTATAATGTCTCTTCAATCTAAACACAACTTAAAGTAATTAATTTTTGTATTATAAATAAACATGTTCAGATATTCTAGCAGTAGTAATTAGATTTGTAATGTTCAATGCAAGACACATAAGATTCCTTAGGAAACCCAATTTGTTTTGCTAGTTCATGAGTAAAAAGGGTATAAATCATTGTCATGAAATACCCTTGTCGAGTATTTTTAAGAAGAGTAGTAGTAACTTTGTGCCTTAAAAATGTATACAAGACTGAAATATAATGTATACAATCTTAAAATATAATGCCATGAATAAACATGCCAATCTCAGCAAACTCTGGAATGCTCAGAATAATTCAAGAAAGAAGTTAGGAATTTATGGGTTTACTTTAAAAAAGGAGACTTGCTTGAAAGGAATATTCGCTCACTAACAAACAACAAATTAATCCAGTGGACAGCTTCTCAAGAATGAGACTGCTCCATTGAGACAGTCAGTAAGGGAGACTGAGGTGTGTGCTGCCTGAAATAATCATTAATTTAATTAATCTCTTATTCTGCCAGTACCTGTGAAACCCGTAACATCTTTGTTGCTGTTATTACTAAAATACTACATTCTATATTTGAGTTCACATTCTAAATGCGGTGGAAAAAAAAAATACTGCAAGGTGTTATTTCACATGAGGTTTGCTCACAAGTAGTTACCTTAATTAAATACCTATGATTATCTTATGATGTCTTCTGAATCAACAATTTGGGTAGTAGCAAGCTATATCACAAAAAATAACGCGTCGTTTAAATTTTTATGCCATTTATTATGTCTGTTCCAGCTTCAAAATGCGCATCCACGTCGCGCGCTCGAATCTATCTGGGCACGGATCCCTAAATTTTCGTTGCGATATGCACCGGTATGCACTGTGTGTAATGCAGTTGATCGTCCAACATTGATTGACATTTTACGTTAACTGTAGAACAAACTAAAATTAAGATACGTGAAGAAAGAAGTAAAGCTCAGCAATAATTCGTATGAACCCAAAAAGTGGGGCACCCAAGAAAGAAACTCACAGAATTTTCAGTAAGAGAATTTCAAGGCAAAATCATAAGACCATAAAGACAGACGGTGTACTTCATACATGACCTGCATGTACTGTCATCTGTCGAAGATATATTGGTATTATAACAATATCAGCGTTCACCTGTCGGTAAAGAACGTAACTGCTTTCACTGCGAAAGTGAGGAGAAAGTACGAAATTAGAAAGCAAAACAAATCAGGGAATATTAGTATCTCAAACCCGAACAGAAGCATAACGTTTAAAGGATCTTACAAATAATCTGGCGATCTACAGTAATTTATTTTAATATGAGGCTTTTTTCCGTTACGCTTGTATTAACTTGGGATGACAAACCATCCATTTAATTAATAATAGTAATAATAATAATAATAATTCTTTCGCGCACACCTACAGGGAATACAAAGTCTTGCGATGCCTCTGACATCACCATCCACTAATTCTTATGGTGAAATGAACGAATAGACCTAATCCATTCAAAGTCGGCACCGGTGGTAACTGTTATTGATAACAGCAATAATATGTGGTCTGACCTGGTTCAAGTGAGTCAACTCAACCAACGCACTCTCCAGTAAAGTTATAGTAGTATCAAACAGTCTTTACTAGTGCCCCGACAGAGGCTCGAACTCAGCAGCTCTCAAATACAAGTCTAGAGCACTACTGCTACAGTAACTCACAGCTAGATTATCGTTTGAGCACAGAGTGAACGAATAGCACGGAATCTGTTCTCAAGGGGATTGTGGTTCAAGTTGCAGGTCTCAAAGTAGTCAAACGTATTTTTTTTCATCCTGCACAATAACTCATAAATGCTGGGAATTTCTTGCTTACCTAAATAATTATTAGCTTCTGTTCCATGAAAGTATCAGTTATCAGAAACCGCCGAAAAATTGTATCCTTCCCCACAGCAGGAAAATTCTTGAATCAAATGCTAGCAAATTGAAAGTAAAAGAACCCTGACTCGCTATTATATATAAACATAAAATTTATATTTTATGTTTATATATATTTGTTTTTATCCATATATGCTTCTTCTTCTGCCAGTTCCAGAATTGTGTCATGAGCCGTTCAGACACTAAAGGAATTGTTAAGCCCATCTTCTTTTACGTCCAACTTCCCGCCTTGCAGTTGAATGACACAAATATGCTTGCCACGGTAAATATTCATGAGCCATCCTGCCTCCATGTTTATGCCGTATATATTACGAAGTGTTATCATTTTCTTTGTGGAAGACAATAAGTATATAAATAAAAACAGAGTTTACACTTGAGGTCCCATAATTTATTGCCATACTCACACATCAATAAATACTATTTACGTAAAGTCAAGCTATTTTTGAAGAGGGGTTTAGTCGCTTCCGGTCGCTTCAGACCAAACCTTCCACTTATTTGTCTGAAAATGAAACATTTGAAACGTTTGAAACGATACATTCACGTCACACTTTCCATGACCTGTTCACATTCACTCAACTAGATGGCATAGCATCAACAGTTGCTTTAACATTGATCAACAGCGCCCAAGCGGAAGGATCCGCTGTCTTCTAATCAGAGATTACTCTGTCTTTCGAATGATTGAAGTGAATACTTTTTTTACGGCTGAATTATTCGATCGTTTAATTATCGATAGCTTTCTTTCGATTCTGTATATCACTGTCTGTAGTTGTGACATTTCTAATGACCAATTTAAGTGTTGCAGAGATCTTGCAGGAATTCATAAAGGTTTGTGTCTGTTTAGTTAACATCACGTCATTTTGCGTATTTTGTGTTTGTCTTATAACGCAATTTCAGCAGCATTCTTTAAGCCTTCCACTTACTTACTGATATTCGACGAGGTTAGAAGTGTCTAGATGGCGAGATCACTACTGTCGAAAAATGTATTCATGTAATAACATTATTTCCGAAAAAAATGCTTATGAGGAAGTCGAGGACAGAGAAGGTAGCATGTTACAGAGAACAGTATTGCTTATTTAGAAGCTGAAAAAATATCCAAAGAATCACTTTATTAGACAGAAAACATCACACTTCCTTACAAATGAGTTTCGTAAAAATATCTTTTGGCAGTGATAAGTATATTATTCAGATTAAATAAGGTAAAAGTAAAGGGGCCCATACACGTACGATTCTAACTCGCGAGTCCGACTCGGCTCGGGTTCCAATGAGCCAAACTCGTCCGTCTGTGGGTCGCAAAGTTGGCAGTCAGCTCATGCGTTTGTGGTGAAATTAATCCGAGCCCGGCTCCCGAGTCAAGCTCGNGCCAATCAGTGGCCGACGTGCTGAGTGGACCCAGTTGGACTCCCCCCCCCATGCGAAAAATAAAAGGTAAAAGTATCCCTGTAACAGGCCGTGAAGGCCCATAGGGTTGTGAAACGTCGAGGCTCCACATTTTCTAGACAATCGGCTCACAGATGGCGGTGAGGTCGTCAGCCTTACGCGCCGGCCGCCCTTTATCCCCCAGGAAGATTTCTGTTAGAGGCTGAGTCGACTCCAGGACCACAGTGCGGCTGGAAGGATTAGGTCAATTGAAAAATCCAATAACCTCATCGGGATTCGAACCCGTGACCTTCCGGCTTGTAGCATAGTGCCTCAACCAACTACTCTACCGCGTAAGTACGAATGAAATTCGAAACTTGACATATGAATTTCTAAATTTAAAAGAGTAATCAGTTCACTTTAGGACAAAGCAATGAATTAACACTTCGCTATTTTCAAAATTCGCACAAAAATCAGTAGTGTACATCTAGTTCGCCTCATGCCAAACAGACAGATGTACTGTGCTCCAGAAAAGTTGCTCCTTGAAACAACTGATCCAGAATGCTTCTAAGCGGTTCTTTTTTATTACTAGTGGGGTGGGACTAAGTCCCTCGTACTGCGGCCACTTCTGGCCTATTGTACCAGCCCCAGATGATAGGTGAGGGGCATTGTGGAGCAATTGGCGGAATGAAGATTGGCAGAGAAAACCTGCCCCAGCGCTACTTTGTCCACGACAAGTCCCACTTGACCAGACCCGGGATCTAACCCGGGCCGCCGCGGTGGGAAGCCAGCGACTAACCACTTGATCTATGGCGCGGCCTTTTTAAGCGGTTAAGTCATATTATCGAGGAAAGAAGCTAGTGAGAAGATGATTCAAGCCTGCATGTTCTTCACTGCGCGTGAAACTTAATCAGTTGTTGGCAGACAGAGAAAGGTGCGCTTTGCATCTGATCTCAGCAGTTACCAGGCCATTGGTAGCAACTAGCCGACTGTTTCTTGTGCACTGGCAGGTATTCTGAAGAAGTGTTAAGGAAGCAGTTGGTTTTGAGTATGCAGCATGAACTAGGGATAGACTCAGAATATGTGTGGTATGATGAGAGTATGACTTTTACAGATCAAATATTTAGTAAATCAGAACACTCTTCAAAGTACTATTTATTGTTTGTTTAATACTGTATTTTGCAATTTAACGTCGAATAAGTATTGCCTTTTAATATTGACCTTGCGTATTTACTGTTTACAAAGTTTTATTCCTTAAAGTAACTTTAGTTTAATGTTATCATATTCACATAATTCCTTTGGGTACTAGGACATGGTGAAAGATCATGTTTTTAGCAACCAAGAGGTTCCCGTAAGTACTGCGGGGTCACATGATCCCTTCCCAACTCACCCGGGACGTCATTTTTATAGCATCTCCCACCAGACGCTAGGTGTCACCGGCCTACGACATATGAGCCCTTCATACTCTCTTGTGGTTGGATTAAATTGGCTCCAGCCCCAGGCGGAGACGTCACTGGTGTCAGAGGGCGTGGTCAAAGGTCATATTTGAGAGTCTCAAGATTTCCCATAATTATTGAAACGGCTTTGCTTATGGTTCACTGCCAGGCTTTTGTTGTGTCGGTGCTGAACCTGTGGGTTCCATAATAATGGTTATTTCTGGAATAGTCGAGACACCCAGCGTGCGTTCTAGACAGGGACTTACCGTTGGCTTGTTCGTAAAGCTTTCTTTCCGATGTTCTCGGCCTCTATGACCGTATCGGGAAGCTTCGAATTGAGCGTTTCGGGAAAACTGAGAGAGAAGACGCCGGATAACATTGACATACCGCCAAACAGAAAAAGGGGGAGAGACTCCAGATACCGCTCCTGAAAAACAAACGCAAAAAGAATATGCATGACATTCATCTGTGCAGTCATCTTTTGGTCTCGTTGGGGTTGGTCAGTAGATTTTCAGCATTGGAAGTAACCACACGTCATCTGGCCCCTCCGTTTGCATATGCTTAACATTATTAGACTTAATGCCAGCAATAGAAATGAGTACCAGGAATCTTCCTGTTGATGAAGGGCGGCCGACACGTAAGGCCGACACCCTTACTGCAATCTGTGAGCCGATTATCTAGAAAATGTAAGAATCTCGACGTCTCAAAACGCTATGGACAACCAAGGCCTGTTACAGGAATAGCTGTATTTTCATATATTTATAGTTCCTAACTACTCGGTAGCGTTGTTGGTTGAGGGGCTATGCTACAAGCCGGAAGGTCGCGGGTTCAAGTCCCGATGAGGTCATTGGATTGTTTTCAGTTGACCTAATCCTTCCAGGCGCACTAGGCCCTGAGGTTTACTCAGCCTCTAACAGAAATGAGTACCAGGAATTAATTTAATAATTTTCCTGGGAAGTAAAGCGCGGCCGGCGCGTAAGGCTGACAACCTTACCGCCATCTCTGAGCCGATTGTCTAGATAATGTGGGACCCTCAACGTCTCACATTCCTATGGGCCTTCACCGCCTGTTACAGGGATAGCTTTACTTTTTGTTTTTACCACATACTGACAAGGAATACCCTCCGGTTGGTGACGATTCTGCATAAATAAACAACACGCCATGAGGATATATGGAGAACTGGCGTTATACTCGTAGGTAGATTCACACATACTTAACCTAGGCACCAGATGAATGTGAGTCGTCAGTTTCATGCTCCGGCCGTTTCACTCCTGATGTTCGTTGGAGATGAGGCTGAACGGTCCCCATGGCAAATCTGGCATCGGTGTCGAAGAGATAAATCCTCTACCCCGGTCGGCTATCCCTTGCTGTAGACCTACTGACTGAACCACCCAGGCAAATGGTTTCTCTGTGTCGACGTCAGCTATAGGCCCACCGATTGCTCACTTGAACATCACGTGAACACTGAGATAAGATTATTCTACTCCCATCACAGCTATAGTTAGGGCACCCACTTGGGAAATTTGAACTTGTCCCTGTGCGTAATTAAACACCATGCCATGAAGACATACAAGGGAGTGGAAGTATAGCTCCACCAGTCTTGACCTCTGCAGTAGTTGGAGTTGAATGGTCAGCTTCACGCTTCGACCACTTTACCCCCAGATAAATAGCCTCCATTACCCATTGGATCTGAGGCTGGTTGGATTTCAGAGCCGGTCTGAACGCTGTGGAGTAGAGAGAAAGCTCTTGTCCCTGTGGAGAATCAAACCCCTTCCTTCCAGTCCTTCGCTACACCGACGAACCTGTCCATGACCAAGTCCATCAAATGCTAACAGGACGATTACGGAATGTATATTTCAGCAAAACTGCGTGATTGATTATTCAGTATTCCCCATCATATTCAGAAGACCTTGAGTTCTGTTCTCCGTTCGAGGGCCGACCGTAGTGGGAGAGTTTGTTCCCGGGGTTTCCTTCGACCTCTTAATGCAGACGTTGCAATAGTAATACTTAGACAATACATCGTATATAACCCACGGCTTCTTTCTCACACATGCATTCCATTCCATCATTAACGGTACTCTTAGGCTGGGGCTACACGAGAGCACGAAGTACGTCCGTTGCAACGAACGTTGCCCTAATCCTCCCTTTAGACACCTGTGGGACACTTTGCCTCTGCAGCTGAGGACCAGAACGGTAAAGCAGACTTGTCAATTTATTTACATCACCTGACCGCGAAGGTGTATACGAAGAATAGAAGTAAAGCTCTAGCCATTCTAGGCCTCGGCTCCATATGGAGGTGGTCAGTTTCACGTTCCGGCCGTTTCACCTTCAGGAATAATTCCCTTCATACGCATTTGGTAGGAGGATGAGTCGAATCCAGAGCCTGTCTGGTCTCGGTGGGGAATGGAACAACACCCTCGATTGTCCAACCAGACTGACTTATCCCGCTATTCAGTTGAAATCTCCGTGGCCTTAGCCCGGAAGCGAACTTTATCGACCGAGCGACTGCCGCTTGTCGGAGAAGTTAGTGCCAACTTTTGCGAATAGAGGGTGTCGCGTAGTCCGCGCAACGGATCCCCACGACCAGAGCCGCTAATTTTCTATTCAAGTATCTCCTCAATTATGCTCAGGAGGCTGAGTGGACCCCGCTCCAGAACCACTACTTCAAAGAAAATTTGGTATCGCCGGCAATCGAACCCGGGGTCTCTGGATCGGTAGCCAGAACTCTGACCACTAGACCACAGAGGCGGTCCCTTCAGTTGAAAAGCATCTCCTAATCATTTCTTCTGATTAGTCACGAGCCTGAGATTCGGTATTCTCACGGTGGTGGCAGAGGACTGTGTTCTGAGATGTCACACCGTGCAGCCTGGTAGAAGTCCACTGAAGTTTCTGAGGAAAGTACTGCCTCTATCTTCAGGATCTAAGAGTACGTCAAGAAACCAAGAATAACTGGACAATCGTCTGCTTGCTTACATTCCAACGCTGAACATGGAGGCAATACGTCACTCACTCACGGAGCTGAGCCTTTCTTGAGAAGCCGCCAATTATGCAGCTACTCAAGAACCTCCCAACATTTTGTGGAACTCGAAGGTTCATTACCGTATTCACAAGAGCCCTCCAGTGGTCCCTATCTTGATCCAGATCAATCCAATCCATACTAACACATCCTATCTCTCTAAGATCCATTTTAATATTGTCCACCCACCTAAGTCTTGGTCTTCCCAGTAATCTCTTTCCTTCTGGTTTTCCCACCCGACTCCTATATGCATTCCTCTTCTCCCCCATTCGTGCTTCATGCTACGCCTGTCTCATCCTCCTTGACTTGATTATTCTAATTATATGTACTTGGAGAAGAGTAAAAGTTATGAAGTTCCTCATTATGCAGTTTTGGAGGTAGTATGCTCCACATAAAAGTCTGCAGCTTCTACCTAGACACAGCGTATCATCCAGAAAGATGTATTCTTCACAGCCATGACAGTGTCTGTTACTTACCAATAGTGGTGTCTGGGGTGCCACCATGGAACCAATTCGCCCGACCATGGCGCACACGCCAAGCAGTGAATGCCGCAGCTCCGTCGGAAACATTTCTGTGGTATATACGTACACCACCGTGAAGGATATTGTAATAGAGAACTTGCCCAGTAAGAAGAGCAACATTCGCAACCAGTCCATATCTGTACAAAATCAAATTGTAATTGCAGTTTTGCTAGCAGCAGAGCAGTAGACATAGACGTTACACTGCCCATTATCCTGACTGTTGCTCAAAAGGTGCGGTAAATATCTGATCACGTTTTGAAGCTTATCGACAGTCTTACGAGAAGAAATGATTACTTATCTGTAGCCCACCTTTATCACAGACACGTCCTTCCATAAGAGCTGAACCTTTTGCAATGCCTGTAACTACAGCAGTTTCATTCGAAACCCATGTGATTCTCTCGACGTTTTCGTTTCTGATGTGTTTCTCATATAGTTTCAAAATAATTTGCCGTATTTTGTTTCTAAAAACAAAAACTAGGCCTACTTGTACGATTTAAAATTCAGCGTTAAATATTTCTTAGGAACACAAATTCCGAATCAACACAATAACGCAGAAGAGTTAAATGTATTAACAATGATCTGAAATTTACTACATGAGAAAATGGGAAAACAAGTAGACGCTGTTACTGTTAGAAAACAGGTCGAAGACATCATAGCACAAGGAATTATCACTTCTTTCGATAACTTGAATGAAATATGTTTTTATTATTGAAATTATTATACTGATCACAAATATGACAAAGTTTAAAACAGATCCCTTTTTTAATCCTTGATTTATTATGTGAAAGAAATTGAAACGCGACCTTACTTGCAAGACAGTAACTGTTTATTCATAAACCAAATGCCATATATTGACACTAAGTTAAAAAAGAAAATTATAAGAACACAAAGAACAATACAAAATTTTAAATAGCATGCTGGTTTCGTTAAAAATTCCATAAGCAAAACTGGGGCATGATGCAAATTTTATGTTTCCAGTTTTGGAATCAGAACATCATAATTCATTTCAAAAAAGTAAAAGGAGGTAAAGCTCTCCCTGTAACAGGCCGTTAAGGCCCATAGGGGTGTAAGACGTCGAGGCTCCCACATTTTCTAGGCAAATCGGCTCACAGATGGCGGTGAGGTTGTCCGCGCCGGTCGCCCTTTATCCCCCAGGAAGATTCCTGGTACTTATTTCTGTTAGAGGTTGAGTCGACTCCAGGGCCATAGTGCTGCTGGAAGGATTAGGTCAATTGAAAAATCGTATGCCCTCATCGGGAATCGAACCCGCGACCTTCCGACTTGTAGCATAGTGCCTCAACCGACTACGCTACCGCGTGACCCCATTTTAAAAGATATGTATCCCCTTGTTATAGTAACCTTGTTGCCTAGTGTAGTGAAAATAAGGCCGATCCCTACCTGTGGGAACGAATGCGAAGGAGATGGAACTGATGCCGGAGAGTATCAGAGATGCGCTGAGGGTAGATTTTCTACCGAACCTGTCCATGGCGAAGTAGAACACGACGTAAGCTGGGAGTTCTATCAGCGCCACCAGGATGAAGTTGGTGAACTTGTTGCCGCCCACTGAGACGGAAGTGAGGGACAGCCCGAAGAACACGAACGTGATAGTGACCCTGTGACGTCAGATCCGGGGGACGGGAAGAAAATAAGAGAACGCGAAATTTAATTTGCTCGTAGTATGAAAGTTTGCAAGAAAGAGAAGAGTAAAAATGTGGCATATTTTAGAAGGAATACCGAAAACTGTGAAGATATAAAACCGTACTGAGGCAATATGCGGTCTTTGTTAATAATCACGAGTAATTCAGTCGGACAACGTAGCAACCATCTCAGTCAGTTACCATATCTGTTTTCATACAAACTCCGTGGCTTTATTCCGCAAGGGAATTATACCGACCGACGGACCGCCGCTTTTCGGCGAAGTTAATGCGAACTTTAGCGGATAGAGGGTGTCGGGTCAGCGCAACGAATCCCCACAGCCGTTAATTTCGGTTTTCTAGACCGGAGCCTCTACTTCTCCATTCAAGTAGCTCCTCAATTATCCTCACGAGACTGAGTGGACCCCTTTCCGGACCCACTACTTCATAGAAAATCAGGTAACCCCGGAAATCGAACCCGGGACCTCTGGATCTGTAAGTAGGAACTCTGACCACTAGACCACAGAGGCGGTCTTTCATAGCTTCAGTAATTAGGCTTACACATTTACTCTGTAGTTGTCCGCACCATGTCGTGAACACATGGACATACAGAGAGCCTACAGATAAACCTTCATGTATTGTAGATCTCAGGGTTAGGCGGAACTGTGCATTGGTTTCACGTTGCTGCTACTCTGTCTTCATTGGATAGACAGTTGGGTGGGAGCTAGAGCCAGTATCAAAATCGGTCTCTTCCCTTGAGATTTTCGGGCAGGTTACACTTCTATGAACAGGGAAAATTTTGTAAAAAACTTCTTAATAAATAAATTGTAATTTCGTACCTACCAACAGAAGGAGCAATTGATCACTCTCACCAGCAGGATCTTGGAGCGGAGCACCTGTTTAAGGACTTCTTTCGTGGATTTTGCTTCAGTTTCAGGATTTTCCTGAAGTGCAATATACGACACCAGTTAGTAAACTTCAGAGTAATTGAAAATTCAACATAAAAATAAGAGAAAATTAACTTTCCTTTGTACATTGGCCTTTTCAGATTTTAGTCGGTAACACGTGAACAGCTGATCACAGCCGAGCAGTATAAAAGCAGTAAGGTCTTGATTCGCTCGAAAACTGGGAGCATGAATTTGAGTTTGATGTATTTCTATGTTTCCATGTCCGTGTTTTTCTGTGTTGTTGGTTTCATGAATGTTTTTACTATGGGTTAATCCGTCGTGTCAGGAGCCCTAGCAAATATTGAGATATTCACTCTTTCAGAATTAATTCTGAATGAAAACAGACCTGAAGATTTAATAGAGATCTCGTCACCAGGGCATGCCACGTCCTTGAGTTGCGGATGGAAGAGAGGGTTTCTGGATATTGAGGGGTAATTTAAAATGGAATGAATAAGCAATTGCGGACAATGTACAAAGCGTAGTCTCCCACCCCCCGCTTATAGGCTGATCGTTGGAATAAAACCCATAACTGGAATAGACTAATACGCTGTGAAATGTTCCACAACATTTTGAACATCGAATTTCTTCTTACTTTTTTCGAAAACCTAGGAAACGGAAAATGGACATGAACTGGGACTTCAATTTATATTCTTGAAGCGATTAACTCAAAGATGATGAGCTTACTGGGACATGTAGCATGCTTGAGAGACGTGAGATATAAACTCCGTGGCCTGTAGTCCGCAAACAAACTATACCGACCAAGCGACCGCCGCTTTTCGGCGAAGTTAGTGCCAACTTTAGCGGATAGAGGGTGTCACGTGGTCAGCGCAACGAATCCCCACGGCCGTTAATTTCGGTTTTCTAGACCGGGAGGTGAGATATGCTTCTGTATTTTTAGTCTGAAAACTGAAGGGAAGAGAATTATTTGTGAGGCCTAGCGCAAATGTGAGGATAATATTAAAAATTTAAAGAAACAATGTGTGAGGATATGGACTGTGTATAAATTATTTCATCATCTTTAATTTGATCAGTAATATTTAGTGAAGAGTAATTCTACAAAATGTGATGTTCATCATTGTACAATTTTCCCCATTGTCTTGTTGTCTTCTCTCTCCTATATTGAAATATTCTCTCTAGCACTTTGGTCTCAAAGGGCAGGAGACCAAATTTCACATCCTGTCAGAACAAAATAGGATTACAGTCTTCATCTTTAATGCTTCCACAAAATATAAATATGGCTCGACTTTGTGACCATACGTCTCATACAAGACGGTGAGTACTGAGGAGACAAATAGGAAGGTGTGCTACTTACAGGTTTTCCTTCGGCCATGGAAATCATTTCGAACTTGCTGAGCGTATCATTGGAAAGGAGTACCCCATTCCTCTTCGCTGCCCTTAAAATTATATTTCGGGCTTCTTCAGTCTTCCCCATGGCCATCAGCCATCTTACTGATTCAGGAAGGAACCTGCCGTAACATATACATAAAAATATACAAAATTCCAGGTACTATTTGTCTAAACTTTTGTCACATTTGTATCAGGTTTATTGTCCGTTGTCTGAGTTATATTCGTGTTTCACGATGTTTTCGATTGCTTGAAGTCACTTCGGGGTACGTGGTAGTGTAGTTGTTTGAGGCATTATGCTACAAGACGGAAGGTCGTGGGTTTGATTTGTGATGAGGTCATTGGATTTTTTCAATTGACCTAATCCTTCCAGCCGCACTATGGCTCTGAGGTCGACTGACAGGCTCTGACAGAAATCAGTAGCAGGAATCTTCCTGGAGGTAAAGGACTGACAACCTCGCCGCCATTTGTGAGCCGATTTTCTAGAAAATGTTGGAGCCTCGACGTCTCATAACCCTATGGACCTTCACGGCCTGTGACAGGGATAGCTTTGTTTACTTTTTTACTCCACTTAATTCTTCCAGCGACTGGTTGTTATTAAAGCAAATAGATATGTACTATTTTATTTTCTATGGCATGTAAGATTATGGGTTGTTTGTCGTTAGCTTAGAAATTGGTTATTTATAAGGCTCCAAGGTCAATCCCGACTGACTCTAAAATATAACAGTTAAAATGTTTATGAACATATCTATTTAGTCCTGGAAGAGAAACGAGCCAGCAAGCAAAATTGAATATTGAAATAAACTTTAAAAGTCGGAACAGTATTACAAATATACTGTACATAGGATAGGATGGAAGGTCATATGGAATGGTCCGTCTGTGATAAGCAGATCTTCTCATTAGCTTTTGGGAGAGAACCCGGTATTCCCTGGTTCTTCGCCGTGGATGTTCATATCTGGTGAAGAGGCGGTCTGCAGATTATACACCTCGTCACTATGCAGGATTCTCAGGCATGCTACATGCACATTCGTTGCAGCTTGTCATGAAAATGTAGAGGAAAAAATGGAGAACAGTTCTATATTTTCTTAATTTCGTTGAGTAGATGCATTTGAGCGGCCACCTTCACGCCCCGGCCGCTTTATTCCCAGGATAAGGCAACTGTCACCAATTAGATGGCATGGTCTGTCTTGACAAGTTGAGCAAGATGTAAAATAATTGTCTGTGGTATTGAATTTGAAGAAGAACAAGTCATGAATTGTCGAGATACTTACTTACAGAGCTGAACCCTTCTTGAGGAGAAGCCAAATCTGCAGCTACTCAAGAATTTCCCAGCATTTCATAGAACCCGAAGGTTCATTACCGTGCTCACAAAGGCCCTCCGCTGGTCCCTATCCCGAGCCATATCAATCAATCAATACCATCCCATCCTATCTCTCTAAGATCCATTTTAATATTGTCCACCCATCTACGCCTTGGTCTTCCCAGTGGTCTCTTTCCTTCTGGCTTTCCCATCAGTATCCTATATGAATTCCACTTCTCCCCCATTCGTGCCAAGATAGTTCAACGTAATTAAACATGATAATAGGGTAGTTGGAAGGATATATTTTTGTGAGGTAGGTCAAATAAAGTAGAAGGTGAAGTTATCCCTGTGCTTAACTAAGCTCTAAGCCATGAAGGCGTATGGAAGAGTGGATTTGTAGATACACGTCTTCTTGACCTCGGCACTAGGTGCAGGTGAGTGGTGAGCTTCACGCATAGGGCGCTTTAACCCCGGGGGAAAGAGCCCTCAGTACCCACTGGATATGAGGTTGGGTGGGCCCCAGAGCTGGTCTGGACGAAGTGGAGAGGAGAAAATTCTTGAGCCTACTGGGACTTGAACTCAGACTCCTCGGCCGCCCTGGCCGTAGTCAGCCGCTATACCGACTGCGCTGTCCAGGCTCCCGAGCTACTGCTTTTACCGGTTCTCACGGTCTCTTAGCTTGCAGATTTCTTATATATTTTTTCTTCTACCCTGAAGATGGAGGCGATACGTTCCTCCGAAACGTCGGTTAACACCACATATACACGGTGCCAAATCCCAGAAGACTGCTTTCTTCATAGTCACCGCCGTGAAAGCCTCAAATCT